TTGAAATACCCTTAATAATGAAATTTGTCTAGCATACAGACTAGCGCTCCAATAAACTCGAGATGTTATTAATGATAGCAACGACTTACATTTGCAGAGTACTTGAACATTTTCACAGAATTTTTCCACTTCCTGTTGTTTGCTTCTCCCATTTCTAAGAGATTAAGGAGAGAGATAACATTATCTCCTTTTTTTTTAATGTTTGTTTTTAATGTCTTTTCAGTATTTGAGTGACTTATTTGAGGTCTCTCAGTGGCAGACATTACTCGTTGTTACTCGGCAGCCACTACCCACTATTTCTTTACTGGCAGAGCCCATCTCCTACCACAGAAAACACCAAGTCCATTTCCAGACCCCTGTCTTCCTCATTTTCCCAACTTTCATTGAAGCCGTGATGTGGGCATGTGGCTGAATAGTGTTCATTGAGACTACAGAGATTTTGCTGGAAGGGCTTTTAGGAAAGTGTCCTTTCTAATTTGAAAACAAAAAAGCAGATGTACAGTAGAGGTCCTTCTTTTCTTTGCTGAGTGTAGCTGTGTCTGCACGTGCTACAGAGAAGTGTCAGGACCACCTTGCAAACAGGGGGGCACACAACGCTAAGTGTTAACACTTTCAGAGAGGAACTGTGTACATGATGTGGATTGATGGCATTGTTAAGCTGTATTAGTCCTGGAACTGCATAAACTGTGGGCCTTTTTTTTTTATCTGAGACAAATATATATCCCTCATTATTTGAGTGGTTTTTAGTGTTCTGTTTCTTGCTGCCAAAGACATTCTAACAGATATGGTGGCTAAACCAAGACAAAGTCCGGTCTTCTTCTGATTCCAAAGCCTTTATTTGTTTGCTTGTTTATTTGTGTGTTTTGGCAGAGCATACTGCCGTCCTGTATTTAAGGCATCCACAGTAGAGCCTCATGTATCTCTCTATTCTGATACTCTCTGTGTCCCAGGGACTTGCTCTCTTCTGACTACTCCGTGAACTTTCACACCTCTGGACTGCTATCCTCATGCCCCCTCCCCTTAGAATACCAGCTCTATAGCTTCTCGTCACCATCAGAATCACGCACATCTTCTGGTTTTTGTCTTGACTGTCTTCTTTTGTAAGAGTCTATACCTGATTATACTTTTCTTTCGTGCTCGCTAGGAGATTTAAATACTGTTCTCCTGCTGCAAACCTTTGTCTTCCTTAGTGTAACCATCTGCACAGCTCTGCCTCCCCACTTGACTGTGAGCTTCCAGGGCCCGTACCGAGTCTCATTCTCTCTTTGTGTCCTCATAGCATGTAGTTTTTTGTTTTGTTTTGTATTTTGTTTTTTTGTGTTTTTTTTTTTATCCTTGCCTCTTAAGAAGGCTTAGTAAATGTTTATTGAATTAAATGTGTAGAATTTTAGAGCTGAATGTTCTTTCTTCTGAAGGAAGCTCTCATTTTCTGGGAATTACAGAAGGTTCTTGTTCTTGGATTCATGACCCGCTTAGGATTCAGGAGATCAGTGATATCATTAAAGTTATAGTCATTGTTTTATGCTCCTAGATTTTATTGGATCAGATTCTTAAAGAATTCATGGCTACTCAAAGGAATGAGAACTTCTGTTTAAGTTAGAAAGTTGAATAATTTTGTCTTTGGCTCTCTCAGCCAAAGACACAATCTGGAGTGTGCATATTTTTAGGAAAACCACTGTTGTAAGTTTGCTTCTTTTTCCCTAAAACTGGAGTGTGAAGAAAACAACCCAAAACAAAAACAAAAACAAAAAATTCTGGCTATTGAACACCCCTCTTATATTGTATCCTGTTCTTCAGTCCCCTGAAAGATTGTTCTAAATCTCTTTAGGCCTTATAATTTTTTGTCCCCATATCACTTCTATCCATGTTTTTTAAAATATCCAACCAGCTGGTCTCTGGTAAGCAGAGAGGAGGCCATTGGAGACAGGGAATTGAGGAAACATCAGGGCATGCTGGAAGTTGGTGGTAAAAGGATGGAGGTAGCCAGCTTTAGCCCCTGAGCCAATCTACTGGCATCTTCAGTGTGGCTTTTCCGTTGTTCACCCACGCTAGACTGTGGCCCATCCCAGGTAGGTGGAATTAGGAGTATTAGCATGGATGAGTTCTGTGGAGTCTCCCCATGTGTTACAATGACAAAAACACCTGCCTAGGCCAGCCCTGAATCACTAATAACCGAGAGAAATACAAAATAAAATGCCTTGTTTTATAGACTAGCATCTGTGTCGCCATCTACATTATTCAGGATTTGGAACTATAGATCTTCAGGAATAAAAGAGACTTTAGGATCTTCTAGCCCAGATCGCTCACTGTCAAGGAGCCAGGGCCACACTTCTGTTTGCCTCGGGATTAGAATCGGCTTCTGCAGTTGGACACAAAGAAAAAAAGGAGGCAAATCATTAATAATTGGAAAATGAGGGGACATGTCTTGCTTTTCTAAGATTTCCCAGAGAGGATGAGATGAGATGAGGTGCAGTGGCCAGGCCAAAGATTCTGGTAGAAGTCAAATCTCCCCAAATGTCCATAAGTTCTCCTACAGCTACCCTAACCTAAATTCATCATTTAAGAAGAATAGTAAACTTGCTAAGCAAGCTCCTCCTTCAAGAAAGATTCTCAGTAGCCCTCTACCAGGTTGCTACTCCTAAGCTAAAGAATTACGAGAGAACACTCAGAGGGGGAATATGTACATCCTCCTCAGGGAGTAGGGGGAATGGGAGATATATTGATGCCCATCAACCTTCCATCCCCCTTCCCCCAACATACATTGTTGTAAGTTAGCAAAGGAAAGGGTCAGCACACTATATTCCTTCCTTAGGAAAAGAAATGGAGAATTCCTATCCCTCTACTTGGGAAGTGTGGAATAAACGTTGGTCTAGTTATTCATACAGGTGTTTTCAAAAATATATTGTGTCGAACCAGGTTACCAGGAGGGTGTTTTAGGGGTTCCTTAAATGTTTGGGGTTTCATTTCTAAATTATATTTTTACGTTGATTAAACAAAATATGCTGTCATATTCAAAGGTGTCATGTCTCCAAATACTGGGCATAATGGAGACTGCCCACGTGTAAATTTAGGTTGCTGCCATACAACAGTCGAACGCACACCTGGAAATAAGGCTTGTCCTGATGTTTTGCTGCAACAGAATAGTTTTGGCCTCCTTTTGCTCTTTCACAAGAGAACACTTTTAATAGCCATTGGAATAGTAGTGTCTCTGTTTATCTCTATGCATGCTTTTGTTTTGTAACCCAGTGAAGATGGAAGTTGGGGTTAGATGAGGGGGGAGGTGGATTGACATTTTCCTCCCTAGGGTCCATTGTGATGGTTGCTTCTCGCTCCCCAACTTTATTTGAGAAATAATTGTCAAATATAATTGTATATATTTAAAGTATTCAGTGTGGTGCTTTGATAAACATATGCATCGTGTAATTGCTAAGATCGAGATAATTAACACTTCCATCACCTTACATAGTTAACTTTCTCTCTCTCTCTTTCTCTCTCTCTCGATTTTTGTTTTGTGTTTTTTGTTTTGTTTTGTTTTTGGTGAGAATGCTTACTATCTACTCTCAGTAACTTTCAAATGGACAATTTTTTTTTTTGCTTTTATGGTATTTTTGTTTTGTTTTTTTATTATGTTATGTTAATCACCATACATTACATCATTAGTTATTGATGTAGTGTTCCATGATTCATTGTTTGTGCATAACACCCAGTGCTCCATGCAGTACATGCCCTCTTTAATACCCATCACCAGCCTAACCCATCCCCCCACCCCCTGAACCCTCAGTTTGTTTCCTGAGATTAAGAATTCCTCATATCAGTGAGATCAGAATGTGAGAAGATATTTGCAAATGACATATCAGATAAAGGGCTAGTATCCAAAATCTATAAAGAACTTACTAAACTCAACACTCAAAGAACAAATGATCCAATCAAGAAATGGGCAGAAGACATGAACAGACGTTTTTCCAAAGAAGACATCCAAATGGCCAACAGACACATGAAACATCGCTCAACATTGCTCGGCATCAGGGAAATCCAAATAAAAACCTCAATGAGACAATATTGTATTATTAATTATAGTCACCCTGATGTACATTAGAGCCTCAGAACTTATAACTGAAAGTTTGTACTTTAGATCCTTTGACCTGGATCTCCCCATTTCCCTTTCCCCTCCCAGTCCCTAACAACCCCCATTATATTCTGTCCGTATGAAATCAATTTTTGTTTGTTTGTTTTTTATTCTGCATGTAAGTGATACCATACAGTATTTTCTATCTGGCTTATTTCACCTGGCAAAATGCCCTCCAGTTTCACCCATATTGATATAAATGCCAAGATTTTCTTTTTAATGGCCAAACAACATCCCACATAGATACATATACATAGTGTATATGTGCACGTATATGTATATACCATGAACATTTTTTTTTATTTATTTATTCATGAAAGACAGAGAGAGAGAGAGAGAGAGGCAGAGGGAGAAGCAGGCTCCCAAGGAGCAGGGAGCCCGACGCGGGACTCGATCCCAGGACCCTGGGATCATGACCTGAGCCGAAGGCAGACGCTCAACCATCTGAGCCACCCAGGCGCCCCTACCATAAACATTTTTTTAACGTGATGGTTTCTTAGCACCTACATACAGAGAGGGGTGGGTGAGGGGCTGGAGTGGGTGAGTTGGTGGAATTATTCTGTAGGAGCTTTGGAAAACTCTGGGAAAAGGGGTAGTCGTTTGGTGAGCCCAGATAGTGTCAATTTAGCTCAGTCCTAAGGAGGAAGCCCGTGATCACTTCCCGGAGGAACCTCACTCATCCCTGCACAGTTCCTGGCACTGTTTCTGGCACTCTCTCACCTTCTAAGGGATGGATGGTTTGAAAATAACAGCTTGGTGGGTTGGCTTCAACATGCTCTTTATACACATGGACCAAGTGACATTCCCCCAGTAGCTTTGTAAACAGTGGATATGGCAGGAAGGAGCCACAGCAAAACAAAAGTACAGATGGCACATGGTGACAGACCGGGTGGGGAATCCTGAGCCGTGCCGTTGCGCCAAGACCCACAGGTAACTGGGTGCTGAGGTCCTGGCCCAGAGTAGGTAGAGGTTGTTAAGCCACTGATAGTTGGTTTATAGCTATTTAAAGAAAGTATCCTAAAATTTAAAAAGGAACCTAAAAAGGCTATATTACCATATGGTCATCACTTGCTGTTTTGAATCAGGGATATTTTGGTACTATCTAATGAAAACGAGATATAGAAAGAAATGAGATGCTGATGAGTATTCCATTTTGTGTGTGTATGTATCAAAACAGCCTTTCTCTCATTGATTGGATTTGTAATTCTATGCAGTTGGGCTCGTAGAATTAAATCTATACATGAAAATTGTTTACCGAATGAATAAAAATAAATTACCGTTTATGTATTTTTAAGTACATATAACATTTCACTTGATGAAAAAGTTTCACTGATTTTTTTTTTTTTTAAGTTTGGGAAAAATGCACAAAAACAGTAGACAGTGGGACCAGAATAGGCAGGCGATTGCGTTCTCCCGTTTTCCTCATGTAGTAATACTGGTAGTTTGGGTTGTGGGCCCTTTAACAGGTAGTAATTCTAGTAATAGTATTGCTAATTAACCAGGACAGAAAAGCGAAGAAACAACAACAAACCAGATCTAATACAATGAGGCATCACTATCCAGGAGTATGGGGGTAGATAATGCACACAGACAGAGAAGGGGAAGAAAGTGGGGGAGAGAGATTGCAAGGAATCGACTGGAGACATAACTAAAGGTTAGCAGTTCGCCCTTCTTTCTTGCTCTTGTTCTGAAAACATAAAGATTAGATTGATTCAAGCAGATATACTTTGCAATGCCAGAAAGGACGCCTCTTCGGGTGCGGTATTGATAAACTGCCTGAGTGTATCAGTGGCATCTCGTTTTACTGGCCCCTCAAGAAGAGGCAGGGAGTGGATTTTTACCTCCCTGCCCACCTGTCTGAGAATTGCTTAAACAGTTTCTGTGTGTGTGTGCGTGAGGGGCTCCACACCATTACCTGCTGGGTTAAAAGATTCCTTCTCTGGGACTCCTCTGAATTCCCTCATCAGATGAATGGGAGATGCAGCCTGTGCCCAGCTGAACTTCATTATTGAGTGTACTGCGCTGTATTGTATCAAGAGAGCAACTACCGAGAAATGCTTTATGCCCACACCCCCATATTCTTGGTGGGGGATTTATAGGTCTATTTGGCAAAATCATACCGAGGTGGAGTGGTAACGTCACTCTGTGTCTTCCAACAAACAGCCACCCTGCTGCCGCTGATCAGCGTTCCTGGGATGGCGGTGATTGAAATTTAGCACTTAGAGTGACTTAATTGGCACGCAGAACTGTTAAGCATATGCCCCCACCACAGGTGCACCATCTGATGTACCTGTAGGGTGCCCAGTACCTCACACGTGCTCACATTTTGCTAAAGAAGGAAGTTTTGAGCAGGTCCTTGAAGGAAGCCTGCACAGTGGTTCAGGAGAGGGGTGGCCTTAGAGCACAGCTCCTCAGATCTCTGTCTGTCTTTGGGTTACCACAGTTCTTCATTCCCTTGAACTTGGAACAGACCTAAGGTTGTGGAGTTCTAGTTTGCTTACTGTGAAAGAAGTGTTGGGAATCTGCTCATTGATGCTTGTGCCTTCAGTAAATCAAGCCCTGTGCTAGCAGAGTGGAACTTGGAAAGGTTCAGTACTCCTTGGCAGCTTGCTGCCTTGGAATTCAAGGTTAGAATGTTCTGTGCTCACTGTGACTAGAACCGATCCCTTGGCCTTCAGGGAAAATCCTGGAAATCGATGTCAACATTTTTCTGCTGAGTTGGAAACAGCAGGGCTGGGCCAAATGGTCTTGGTTATGTGAATCAGGAGAGAAATGGAAACCTCAACAGAAAACAGAGCAGACCTATTAAGTTCTTGTCCTTATGTAAGGAGAGCGAATGAGGGGTGAGGACTCACTGGGTAGGAACACACTGCTCTGTGGACTCTTCCCATGTGTCCTGGGGCTCATGTGCTCCAGGTAACGGGGGGCCCTGGTCATCACTGCAGATGCCGGAAGAAGCAGTCTTCTCAAGCTGCCATGATGGGCATGAGTGTCCGTGGGACTGAGGAGGGGTAGATAAGCTGGCTGTCAACTGAGGTTTTCTTTGATGAGCTCCTCCTGTCCTAACTGGATCACAGACTACAGGCCTCATCTGTATTTACGTTCTTCTCAGGCATCAGGCGAAATCCTGGGTTCCTAATAAGTGTTCAATGAGTGTTGAATTCTGAAAGAAAGAACAAAATCGTTGGAGTCCCTCTGAGTGATGTTGAGAATAGCAGTGGCTTCAAAGCCAAGAAGGGTTTGCCGTGAAGCTGTGGAGCTGAAGTGTCAGTGTCCCAGGACCTGTTCTGAAGTTTGAATTTGTATGTTTATATGCTGTTCCTTACGGAGGGTCCTTCAGGACCCCATAAAACATAAATAAGCTCCTGTTAAAATGTTCTTGCTGAGCTCTTGTGGAAGCCTGGATTCCATCCAGTGGCTTTCCCAGAAATTGGAGAATCAGAAGAAACAGATAAAGCCAACCCTGCAAAGGAGAGGAAAGGGAAGGAACTGACATTTAAGAAGCCCATGCAGATTGAAGAATAATTAGCCTTTATTACCTATTTTAATTCCTCAGAGCAAGCCTTTCTGGGTGATGGCATTACTGCTTGCCCTCTTAATAGGTGGGGACATTGAGGTTCAGAGAAGCTAAGCAACCTGCCCAGTGTGGTACAGCTACTAGGGCTGGGACCTACATCACTGACCTTACTCTCTCCTGACCATCTGCTCAGGGGCTCCCTTACAGGGTGCATATTTGACAGCTCCGCTAGCCTTCCCTGAAAGCCTTTCAGCCCACCGGGGTAAGGAATGCCTGGATGGGCAGGTAACTCTTACTGCAGGACAGAGGGAGAAAGTTGGGGAGGGGATCAGGCCTGAGTGGTTTAAAGGAAGGCCCTGGCAAACCCTTCCCCAGTCGGTGTTAAGTGATGCTGTAACAATTCATTCAATTATGTTAAGCACCCATTAAAGGAATCCTAAGTCCTCCCTTGGGCCATTTCAGTTCTATGATATTGTAATTGTTTGAGACTAACCATGATGTCTTCTTTTGCCTTCAGGTGATTCTCATTTTGACAAAGCTCTATGACTATAACCTGGGGAGCATCACTGAGAGCTCGCTTTGGAGGTACGTAGATAAAGTGAGCTAAGGATTACTGTGTTACTTAAACATGATGCCCATGACTGCTCTTCCCCACCCCTTTTTTTCCGGGGGTGGGGAGATTTTTGGCTCTGTGTTCTCACTGCTTCCTCTGTTTGCTCTCTGTTTTCTTTAGTCACAGGTTGGGGTTTATCGCCAGGCAGGCCAGATCCTTACTTCTTTATAGACCCCTTGTTTTGGCCACAGGTCTTTTTGCTAAACTGTTCATTATTAGGTTGCCTTTATGTGTTTTGGTTCCCACGGTTCTCACTGATCTATGAGCTTGTTGGAGCAGAAACAAAAGAACAGAGGGGTGTCTGCAGAGAGAATCTACAGCACCACTTCCTTCCAGGCCCTCAGCTCACTAGCACACACGTGTATGCACACACACTCGCGTGCATGCCTTCCTCTTTGGGATTCACACTGTATTGTGTGAATATAAATTCTTCAGGTGAATGCTATTGATCCTTGAGGATCTGACTGACTCATTGAACACCAGCACACATGTGCAGTTAGGCTGAAACTAGGGACAGGAAGGTCCTCAGAAATCCAGGCACTCTTGGCTCCTTTTGTTCTTAGGGGCTATATGTTCCATTGTTTCTGTTTGTTTGTAAACATGGGCTTTATTGGTCTCATCCTGCTTGGGTCTTTGCCAGTCCGTGTCATGTGCCCACACCCAAACTGACCTCAGGCACAGGAGGTGCTTGGTTGCTTAGGCCTGGGTCTTGTGATAATCCCTGAGCCGGGGAGAGGGTGGAAATGACCCCAGGGATGATATTCAGCAATCACTGGGTTGGCGCCCAGCCCAGAGTCTGATGGGTCAGTGCCGTCATTACAGTGATGGCTTAAATATGTTGACTGTCACTTCTGATCAGCCATCCCTGAGCACATACACTGCTGTGCACAGAAGATGGTGGGGGAGGGGGAGAGGTGGTACTAAGAACATAGGAGCTGGGAGTCGCCTCTGGGCAGACACAAGCGGGCGGCTCTCCTGCACGTAGGATTAGCAGGGAACTTCACCCGCTGTCAGTTAACATGACCAGGAGAGACTGGCTGCTGGGCCTCAGTCGCAGGGCTGATGTCTAGGGAGAAGGAGTCCAATCTGCCCTTTGGGTCAGGGGTCCATCCCTGCTGCAGTGAACAGTGATGGGGCTGGAGGGGAGGTAACTGTACTTGCTTTAGCAATTGGGTTGTAGGGCAATGCCCTTGTCACACAGAAGAGGGTCATGAGTTATACACCCTAAAGGAATCTACCCCACAAAAGGATTGTTTGCTAAATTCATTTTAACCTGATGGCTGTTTTCCATTAGGCTTCACACTCTATATAAGAAACCCCGAATAAATTGTTGTGTGCTTTAGGAAAACCCCAGCAGACCAAAGAAAATGATAGGATCCTGTTCTTGTGCTTGTGGTGAGGTGTTTAGATTATTGAACTCTTCCCCCAACAAGGTCAATTATGCAGAGTTTTGGTCCCAAGGAAATGATGTAACGAAATTAAAGTGTGGGAAGTTTGGTAGGAGCCTCAGAAAGTACAATACTTTAATGCATTAAGGGCCTGACACTCGCTTTATTGTTTAAATTCAAGACCCCTTCATCAGACTCTCTGTGACTCCACGTAAGCTTATGTTTCCTTGATAGGTTGCTCTAATGTATGTACATACATGAAAGTAAAAGCCAGCTTTTATTTTGCGGTGCATCTGCTGTGTGAAGTGTAGTCGGCATGTTAGAAAATTAAAAGATATGCAATTCTGTCTCAGTGGGGACAGAGGCTGTTAGAGGCCCTAAGTCTCAACCCGAGCAGTGAGGAGGGCATGCCCCAGGGACAGGAGGAACAGCTTGCCCTAGACTGCTAAAGTCAGGTTCACCATGCTCCTTTCCCCCTTGTGGGGCACTGTGACTGATGCCCTGGCCTAGGGAGGATTTTTTTTTCTCATCTCAAGAAGGGGGGTGAGTTAGTAAAATAAAAAATTAATAAAAATTTAGGTGCAAATAAGCAAACAAAAGTAATACCAGGCCTTTCTTCTGAAGGAGCAACCTCTATGGGCTTAAGCTTTGGAAAGTGTGGAAGGAATCATCTGTTCACCCTTCAGTCTTAGGATCGGTTTCAGTGGAGGATATGTGCACATACATATGCACACATAAATACACACACACACACGTATACACGTATAATATACCTGCATATGTTTACTTTTCTGATTGAGCCACGATAGTCATTTACCGTGTCTGCCCTATGTTACATGTCTCATTTGTAGCAAATAACTACTGTGGGTGCTCTATACCATTAGAACTATCAGTTTAATACTTTGATAGAAGAACCCATGCCTAAATGAAAATATAATTTAGAAAAGAAAAGAGGGAAGGAAAAAGAAAAATATTTTGAATACTTTATAACTGCTTTGGTAGGGCTTGTGTTTTAGGGTGGTTCACGATGCCCATGTTTGGTCTTTAGGGGATCTCTTTGGGGTGTTAATATAGAAGAGGAGAGGGGGAGTCTGGGTTAGCCCTGCTTGAAGGAAACTGGTGCCAAACTCATTTTCTCCTACATCAGCTCTTACTTTCTGTTTAGAAACCTGGCTTAAAATTGGGGGCTTGCTGGGAACAAGGTGGAATTTAGGTATTCTCATTATATCCCTAGCACAGAGCACTGGACTTAGCCCATTGACAATGCTCAGTAAGCATCTGTTCTTGAACAGACCAGTGAATACTTTATTTCATATTCTTATTCATTTATTCAACAAAGATGTATTGATTAACTCCTGTAGGTCTTAGATTGTTCTGGTCCCACGGAGGGGAACGTGGGTGTGTACATAGATCAAGAGCACGTAAGCTCTGTCTGTCTTTCAGGTGTTCATTGTCTAGAGGGGGGCAAAGATCTGTGGACAGTTCAAATGAGAGTTAAATGTACTTGTATGGAACCTACCTTCTATAACTGTATTGGATTGGGTACTTAGGCAGCCACCTAAAGCTGCCCGATCCCAGAAGAAGATAGATCTAACGTAAACAGACAGTCATACGACCTAAGTTTTGTAATAAAGACACGAGATAAGCGTTGCTTCTTTACTTTGCTCACATGTATTTTTTCTCTCAACTAGACTTTAAATCCTTAAACCCAACACCTTTCTGGTTTAAAGATAATGGCAATGATGCTTGTGATAATGATGATAATGACAACAGTAATAAAAACGAACGGTTACTGAGCGGTCACTATGTGCCAGGCATGAAATTAAGTGCCACACATGCAGTATTGCGTCCTCTTACTTCATTTTTATGGTGTGCTCTGGGTTATGCAATTAGTAAATAATAGGCCATACACTTACGGGGATGTTAATAAACTTCAATCATTTTACCGCTTACCTGTCTTTGGGAGTCCCCTCTGCCTTCTGGTGACTCTTTCTGTACCTGAGCAAATAAGCAAACAAAATTTTAATCATAAATATATGAAATAGAGTTTTTAAAGAGCTGTGACATTCTGAGCAGCTTATTACTCTTCCAGAAAAATATCAGGCAAAAGGGAAATGGCTTCTTGTCCAACAAAGAGACACAAGCACTTTTCAGTGGAGCCCTTATTCTTTACAACTTTTTCCCACCAAACAGTGAGAAGGGGTCAAGTGGCAAATGGCGTGGGGTGTCAGAACAAGAGAGAGGTCGAGAGGCAGCTGACCTTGTAGTGACGTCCTAGGCTTTGCACCTTGCTGGCTCAGCAAGCTGTGGATGACAGGGTGAGGTGCAGCTGTGCTGAATTAATGAGCTTCTACTCCCAGGTGGTCTTGTCATTGACTACACCTTAATCTTGGAGCAAGTTGTTGATTTTGTTTTGTGTTGTGTCGTTGTTCACTCAGGGAGTCCAACCGAGAGGAAAGGGGGATAATCTGACATAGAACAATTCACTACCCCTCAGAATCTTCTCCACTTTACAGTGGATTAAGCTTTGAGATTCGGTAGAGCTGGTAGTTTTGCCATACTGGAGCAAGATAAGCTTAAAGGTTGAGATAAATTAAATGTCAAAATCTAGATACAGTATCTCTGAGAAGAAATATATTCATCTTTTTTCCCTTTAGTGCCTGGATAATCAGCACTTTGCTGAGAGAGGCTTAGCTGGTGAGAAAGCCCTACGCAATTCTGGAAGGAGCTGAAAGGGATACTCTTTTTTTTTTCCTATTTATTTATTTATTTTTGATGTAGTGTTCCATGATTCACTGTTTGCGTATAACACCCAGTGCTCCATTCAATACGTGCCCTCCTTAATACCCATCACCGGGCTAACCCATTCCCCACCCCCTCCCCTCTAGAACCCTCAGTTTGTTTCTCAGAGTCCATAGTCTCTCATGGTTCCTCTCCCCCTCCAATTACCCCTCTTCATTTTTGAAAGGGATACTCTTAAAGGGACAGGCAGCCCTCAGTGCCCGTGTCCTAGAGCTCAGCTGACATGGCTGACTTCTCTTCAAATCCAGGGTACCATTTCAGATTCAGGTGAAACACAAGCAAGCGTCCGAACACATCTTCAAATTAGGTACTTTTCTAGGAGCAATACCTGCTTTTTGGGCACAAGGAGCATGTGGCTAAGGTAGGGAGCATGGGTAGGCTTTCTGTTTGATTCCACCCTGGGAGCCAGCCCTGTGTCCTCATCCCAGGAGCAGCTTTGTTTCATCTTGGGTGTTACACACCGCAATTATCAAGAGAGGCTTCCCCGTGGAGTCTTTGTGGAGAGAATAGCTCTGTGGAGAGTCCCCTGAGGCAGCGTCAGTGTGGGGCTGGCTTCAGACAGTGCTGTCTGGAGAGTGTCCGCGGTTCAGGCTGACAGAAGCTGACCGGAAGTCTGGGACTCTGCCTTCCCTGTGGTGGATGCGCATTAGCTGGGCATGTCTTGCCTTCCCACTCCTCATCCAGGGCAAGAACAAAGGGCAGCTTGGGACAGGTTGTTAGTCCCTGCTTTGAAGGATGCTTTGCTACAAAATCCAGCTTTCAGTCAACTACAAAAATAAGAA